TCATCTTTCATCTCTAACATAAATGACATTTGTTAAGTGGGGTGGAAATCCTCATATAAGTGGCAGAGACAGAATCAGCAATGGCTGAGGAGTGGCAAGAAAAGCCATCTGAAGTTCACTTTAAGAAGAAGAAAAGGCTCATAAACGTGACTGAATGAGAAACAGCTGAACGAATTCCACCACTGATAATGAGCAGGAAGCCCAGTGCTTGGGATCATGAGTTTATGCAAATCTGTTATTACTGCAAATTGGCATCCTAAGACCCTGATCATACAACACTTGCACATATGCTTAACTTTATGCACATGAGCGGCCTCATTAACGCCAGAGACTTAGTCGTGCATAAAACTGAGCAAATAGATGAGTGTTTGTAGGACTGGGATTGAAACACAAGGGAGAGAAAACAAATTTACTGTATCATCAACAATTATTTCTGAAACCCATCAGAAGCCAAGGTGGTGCCAGAAGTCTGCACAGTGCAGAAACATTCCAAGAGAGAGAGGAGTGGAACTTTGAAAATTGCTGCCTTCAACTCAATCCATTCGACCAAATAATGGTGGGCCAGGAAAACACCCCTGCTCTGATTCAAATATAACTGATTTTACAAAATAAACCGGATTGTCTCTTAAAAACACACCTTTCAAACTTAGTTATTGTAAAGAAGCACTGTTTATAATCAACTTGGATTTGACTAAATTGTTCAGTGGTGTCTCACAAAAGTCTTACAAAATTAATTTAAATGGTATTACGTTTATGTGGATTCAGAGCTGACTACAGCATTTATATAAATAGTTACAATAAACATAAAGACTTACCTTGGAGGGAGGTGCCTATTGCACTGCAGTGAAGACTGATGGTCAGTCTTGGATCTAGCTTTAATTAGAATATTCAGCAATGCTTCAGAAAACAGAAGAGCTCCCTTATGCTAAGGAATTTGATGAAAATATGCTTTTTCCTTGGGAATCTAAAGGAGTAAATACAATAAAATTTGAGTACTTACCAGCAAGACAAGAAAAAAACAAAGAGCTGTAAAACAACATCTGTAGAAGTAAAGCTTCTGCCAAATTTAAAGGGATAGTTCTGGAAAAGGAATTCTGGGAAAAGGGCAACCCTGCACTGGGGAGATGTAAAACAAGGCCTCTACAAAACATAATTGTTATCATAAACAGAATCAGTCAAAATTCATGTTTATGTTTCCTGATAATTTCTGTGTGCTTTTTATGCATTTTTTTTTGTTACACTTTGAGAAAAAAAAAAAACGAGTACATTCTCTATTGTCAGTTTTACTCCTACTTTTTGGTGTGTAGGGATTTTTTGGTCGTGCTTTCTGTCCTTCTCACCCAGCGGGATCGCTGCTGTCAGTTTTTGCCGTGCAAACAGCAAAGCTGATGTCATTACCGCACTTTGTGTTGGCCACATCTCGCAGCTTGTTTTGAAGCAGCATCTCCAGCCCCCTCCCTCTCCCCTGGGTCCCGTGCGTGGCCGTGGACGAGACTCCTGGCAAAGTCCTGGATGTGCCACGGGCTCTCGGTTCTCCGTGAGGTTTGTTCAGGAGGGTTGTCATGGAGATGAGAGAGCCTGAGAGTGGAGTCTGTGTGGACAGGCTGCCCACAGCCAGGGCCGTGAGGGCTGGGCTGGCAGGGAGCCAGGCAGCTCGTGAAAATGCTTTAGCACGTTTGCACTTGTCGTTGTGGTGGTGTCTGAACGGGGTGTGGGGGGCACTGATGATCGGCTGTTTGCAAGTCTGCATCCATCTTAAAGGCTTGATTTTATGTAAAAATGGCATGGGGGTGGGGTGTGACTTTGGTGAGGGAGCATCTTCACTTCTGTAATCTCACAGCACTGAAAGGATGAGGACGAAGCGAAAAGAGTAACCAGGCTGTTGTCCAGGAACCCTCCTCCCACTACCACTTACCCCAAAGGAAAGAAAGTTTAAACTTTCTTCATGGGTTAAGTCTTGGCTTTTTCATCTCACCTATCTGGATTTCAAAGAAGAAGGTAGGACTGAGACTGGACGTGGCATCAGTGCCACGGTCTGGGAACCACGGCGGGGTTGGATCGAGGGTTGGACTTGATGATCTGGGAGGTCTTTTCCAACCCAGCTGATTCTCTGATTCTGTGATTAACTGGCACATGTCAGGAGGGTGACTATGAACTGGGCTTTAAGGAACTATCACGATAAAGACAAATAAAAATGGTATTGTTGGTGAGAAAAGTGATGCTGGAGGTGTAGCAGCTGGAGAAATCAGACCTGAAAACATTCGTTCATTCTGGTTAATGTCACTGAGTGCAACATATATGGTTGGTCAACAAGATGCACAAGTCTGCAAATTCCTGGCTTCAGAGTATCACCATGTTCTGAGCTGAAGGTCTGGGACACCTGGAGAGTGGAGGAAAGTCTGAAATAAATTTGCACAGTATTTATCTTGTTTTAAATGCCTACCTGCTTCATTCCAACAGGTAAAGAGCACAGAAGATCTGTTTATCAGCACAGCTCTAGCAGCTTAAACCTCCCCAAGGCTGTGATGATAATATGACAGTTTCTTCGAAATACTGTTTTAATTCTTTGAGGGAATATTTATTTCAGAAAAAAACCCAGTCCTTACCTTATTTATTATATAACGAAGTGCACCTTGAAATGCAACATTGAACACAAATTTCTGTTTGATTCGTTTCATGGAAACAACTCTTCATCAAGCATTTATTTCAGAGTGAAACCTTAACATTTTACTTTTTATCTGTCTGGTCAATCACTGACTTTTTAAATTTTTTTTATTTTTATTTTTTCCTGTTGGCCCTACTAGACCATGCCTCTTAATGCACACAATTCCATGCATGTAACCTTAAAAAAAAGTTGAACTAAATTTTTGTTTTTCAAACCAGTCAACTAGTTATTAGTTGATCTGATACACAGATTAGATGAATTTTGCTTTTGTAAAAAACAGTTTTCTCAGCTGATTCTTAGCACTTGGGTGCAAGTTTGTGTATCAAAATCACAACAGAGGTTTATGTCCCTTGTCTCTCCTCTCTCTGCTGGGTCTGGGCTCGTGTAACCGAGGGCTGTGACAAATAAACCCTTTAATTTCTCGTCAGGATGTCTGCATGGATTAGGAAGGACAATTGCAAACATCCTTCAGGGTCTAAGGCAGCGAATCTAAACAAAATTTTTCTGCTCTTGATGTGCTGTATTAAAAGATGAAAACTCATCCTTGTATGGAAGGAAAACAGCGTTTCAGTGAAGATCTGACCCAGAGACAGGAGAGCAGTTTCCCTGTGAAAGATGTTCTTTCATTACAAAGACTATTGTAGCCCAAACATTTTATGATGTATTTTTCTTTCCAAGGAAGTTTTTTCAATCTCACTGAGCATGCTGAAGTCATTATATAGTTACTAGAGATGCTTTGTCCAGACAGTCTTACTACAGGTTACAGTTCTGCAGGAGATTAAAAATGATGTATTAGTAGATATCCTTCTAAAAATACTCTTTTAAGTAATATGTATCTTCATCTTCCCAAACCTAGAAGAACATATACAACAGCAAAGGAAGTATAGCAAATAATTGAGGGCAAATGATATATAACAATGAGAACTTTTACTCCTGCATCTATTTAAATGAATGGACATGTCAAAATGTGAAAGCAAAGCACTTCAGTTTATTCACATATTTTACATTCAAAGGACCAGCAGATTTTATTTTATTTTTATTTTTTTTTCAGAAAAATAGACTCCTGTTGTGGTTTCCAAAAGTTTGACAGAGACATGGAATATACTTAATGAAGCCTGTCACTGCAATGCATACAATGAAAACCTGGCGTATATGGAAAAAAGAAAAAAAAAAGACGAAAACCAAACAAAATCGACCATTACTAAAAAAAAAAGACTTCCCTTAATATAAATAAAAAATCAGAGTAGTGCTTTATTTTAACAGACAACACAACAGTGGGATTTATTAACAACTACATATTTACAGTGCCTCACTGGTAGAAACATTGGGCTTCACCTGAGATCCTGGACACTTCCTGAGAAGGCAACGTGGGCAGGAGATTGCTCAGCACTTCACGTAAACTAGGGTGCTAGAAGGGTGAAATGAAAGCATACTTTTAAAATAAATAAGATGCCAGAGGTGGAACTGTCGATGCATCGCGTTTGTGCCCTGATCTGCCAAAGCCTGCACTTCAAGCACTCCCTTTGCTTTCAGGAGATCTGTGTGTACTCCTAAGGTTAAGTGCAGGATTGTTCCAAACCCAGGAGCCTCAGAGGAAGACAACTGCTTGACTCAGAGGTGCTGTGAGTAGAGAAAAACTGTGGTAATGGCAATTTTACAGAGGCACATGACCTTGAATTTAAATCTGTATTCTTTTGCATGGGTGATTTCTACCACCTTTTTTTTTAATTTGATCCTGCAAGGTCTGGATTCCAAGTATCTCTGTGAAGTGACAAGCCTGTGAAAGTATCTTCTTCCCACAGCCTCCAAAATCATAGTGCCAGTTTAGCAGATCTCAGCCTTTTTTGGCAATTAAATAAAACAAGAACCAGATCTTTTTCAAAGTATTCACAAAAGTAATCTTTCACTTATAAAATGGCTGTCCCACCATTCTTGTATCAGATCTGACCTCAGCTCTTTAGATCGAAACAGTTCTTTAGAAGTTATAAAAATAAAGCATTGATTAATATACAAATATATATTTCAGAGTGATAAGAGAATAATATTAAACAAATTCCTTTTTTAATCTACTTTAAATTAAAAGAAATGTTTTCAAAAGGCTAGGCTGAAGCAGATCTTTATCTATTGACTTTTTAATGGAACCCATTCCCTGCAGATGGTCACATGCAACTTAATGTAAGAAGCTCATTGCTACAAAAGGACAGTGAACATGTTTCCACTAGCAAAGCAATTCCTAAAATCTCCTGTGCCAGTTGGTTTTTGGTATTTTGCTTTCAAGGACTGCAGATATTTTTAATACTGGCAACAAAACATCAGCCATGACGTGCTGAGCTCCTCTAGAAATTTGCTTCTTTCCCCGGTCTTTATTAACACCTGTTTTGCAATAATCCAATTTTTTTTTTTCTTTTTGTATACTGTTTGTATACAGAATAAAACAAATGTTCTGCTCGAATGCACACATATGTACAAAACCAGTCAGTAATTCAGTGAAGAGATATGCCTGCTCACTGGGTCATTCCATGCCTTCACAATACCATGTTTTTTTTGCTGGGATATCCATAACAACAGCTTGTGGGTCGCTCCCTTCTTCCACTGAGATGTTTATGGGTGTTCTCCTTCCATTTATCTCAAGCAGCCAAAACAGCAAGGAACGTTTTTGAACAACCTATAATACTCTTCCTGAATCTGAAACAAAAACACGAGATTCGAGCATGAAACAGGTTTATTGCCAGATCTAGATGTCTTTAAACTGTTTTTGTACTGCTTCTGCCTCTAGATGTTTTAAGGTGGGGCTGGTTTTGACCTTAGGACAGAACACTGAAGAAAACATCATCCCAGGGTAAGTTTGGGGACACACTGCATTATTTCATCAGGTCAATGGCACTATAACCAGTTTTACAAGTAAAAAAACCAAACCCATTTCCCTGTATTTAACATATTGGTTTGAAAAATGGGAGGAAATATGTGAGGAGGTAAAAACTAGACGGAGGTTCTGTCACCACTGAAGGCAAAAGCTCAGCTTCTGGGCTGGCCACCTGCCTGCGTAGGTACGTGAGAGTGCCTGAGTCACTTCCCCCCAGGGATTAGAACACTCACCTTCCTTGACAGTACACAGAGAAAAATGAAGATGAACATCCCCTGGAAGGCATTGAAGATTGTGAATAGGTAGGCGGTGACCACGGATCCCTGGACGACGTGGAGCACCCCAAAGATCCAGGTAGCCCCGAGGAGGAAGAGCAGAGCGAGGGCACCTCGGGCACAGGACCTGGCCAGGACACAGGAAAGGGACACTGTGAGCAACCAGCAGGCACAAACGACTTCCCTTCTTTCTCCCCCTTGGGTGAGATGTTCTTTCCTAGCTGTGAAGGCCTGAGAGGTGCAGGTGCACGGGCTGCTCTTCAGGGTGTGCTGTAGCTCTGTGGCACGACTGAACCCACAGGATCACTTCAGGAGAGCAGAGGAGTAAAACTGGAGGGCCCTGAAACGCTGGCGTCTTTCATCTTCAGATATGTTTTCTCTGGGGTACTGCAGCACCATATGATTTGATTTAAATCTACTGTTAGTGTAATTCCCCAAGGAAAAACATATGTCTGTTATGAAGCATTCCCTCCCCACTTTTTCCTCCTCCCCCTTATCTTTCTCAAAAAAAAAAAAAAAGACCCAGAAAAAATGAACAGTATGCTCTGAGGTCAGTGCATGTGCATGACATCAAAGGATTCTCTGGCTGCCTCTCAGGATCACTGCAGAGGTGCCAGTTGTAAAACCAGACTTTCTTCCTTTCATTCTTTCTCTTTAAAAAAAAAAAAAAGGAAAAAAAATATTTTTGTTTTTAGAACACAAATGCTCTCAAATAGTTCCTGGGTCAGCATATTGATGCTTTAAAACTGTAGGAACTGATTGGCTATGTTTTTTTGTTTTTGTTTGTTCCAAGATGCTGTAGAGCTCTGTTCACAGACTTGAGCAAATTACAGCATGTTGTCTTGGAAATGAAGCCACTGATTACTTTCTTATTCATTCTCAGCTCAGTCATTGCAGGACTTCTTTGAACAGCAGACATTTTTAGCCCTGTTCCCCTGAAAATGAATAATTTTCAACTTCATTAGAACCAGGTCACCACATGAAGCTGTGAAGGGTGAGGAATAAGAGAAAGTAATCAATCAAACAATTGCTAAATCCTAACTATAAATCTAGTGCAATGCATTGAAACTGCAGGAGTGTTCCTAAGCAACACAAACAGTAAGTTGTTTTCAATGTTCCCTGTAGTACACTTCAGCTTTTCCTGCACAAACGCTTTTCAAGGTCCCTATAAATCAGTTTTAAAGAGAGTGAGTTGATGGAAAAATCATAGCAGCATGCAAAGTAAAATCCAGGAGAGAATCTGCCCCATCCCCCCAGCGCCACAGGAGCACAAAGTCCTACTGCAGACTTTTCCAAGGAACATGAATGGTTTGAATATCTTATCATTGAATTACTTGTTACTTCAAGGCAAATATTTTCGGTCCCATTTCAGGCATAAGTTTTGAAACCTGTTTTGGCTTGCACAGAGGCTGTGGACAGAACTTAAGGAAAAAAAAAAAAAAAAAGGACAATTCCTTCTTTAGCTTTGCCATCAGCCTTTATCCTGTGGTTGATATGGGCCACTGGAATTCTTCATGCACCTCTCACACGCCCTCAGTGTTACTGAACAAGGTATTGCTCGATGGGAATAATGATTGCAAAATGTACTTCCAAGTATATATGGAAAAAAAAAAGATCCTTCTTTTTCTGCAAATCCTTCAGGAGATTGAACTGTTGTTTTTGAAGACTCACTATCATCTCTGTCTGCATTTAAACTTACAGAAGGTAGAATTGGTACTAAATGGCAAACTTACCTTATGTTTTCGTAACAACTAACTTCTGGCTTTAACATCGCAGTGTGTCGAAATACTTTATAAATAATCACTCCAAAAGCCAACAAATTAACCTGGGGGGAACGAAGAAACAAACTTTTAGGTCAAACCAGGACTCTCTGGAGTGCCAATAAGTCTTAAACATTTAAATGAAACGAGTCAGATGAAGTTTCTGTGCCTCTGAAACCCACAGAATCCAGCAGGGGAAAAAACCCCACCCTGTTCTGATCCATTAAAAACTACGAGCCCTGCCATCAACATTGATCAAACAGGGATGGAACTCCACCTTATCTCAGCAGTATCACTACCAACAGCCTGTAAATGTTTATTGATTTTATTGGTAAATCTCTTCGATTTCCTGCTGAGATTATTTTCCCTAAGCATAGACGTAGGGAAAAGGGAAAGGAAGGGAAGGGAAGGCAAGGTAAGACATGGCACAGAAGGTAGGGAAAGGGAAATGGAGAAAACCACCAAACCCTCTCCATCTCATGGGTTTTCTCTTCTACTCTATCACGTTGATCTTGACAAATATGTGTCTTTTGTTGCTGAATAACATTAATAACATCACACGTCCTGAGGTCTTTGGGGTGTGAAAACTTTCAACCGGCACAAAAAAAAAACTTTGAGGTTTACACAAAGAATTTTTAAAAATCTAACTAATTGAAAGGCTTCTTGCTGTGTATTCTCTCTTATATTTCATGTTTGTTTCATAGATGAATAATTTTGGTATTTTTTTTTTCCCTGCTGCCTGTATAATGACATCGCTTTATTTGAGTTTGAAACAGAGAAAAGCAACTAAAAGAAGCAGTTTTGCAAATGATGCTCAATTATAGTTCTGATCCTCTGTTTGCTTGGCTAGGCTTCATTGATCTTTCATTTAAATTTATGCTTCACTCCTTTAAAAATGTGGATGGTTGCTTTCTTGCTTTTTTAAAAAAATATCATATTTTGCTTTTCCGCATTTAACATCAGAATCTATTTAAAATGTTTGTAAATGAACCAAATTTTCACTGGATGTCATTCAGATACCATTTGTAAATCCTTGGTTGTAATCCCTTGGTCGGTTCCCGTGGGCCTCCAGCTGCAGGTTGGAATAGAATTAACACCCTCCCCAAATTATTTCTCCAGAAAGACTTCAGGGTTTTCCCCCCCACACTTCTTTTTCTTTAAATAAAAAACAAAAAAACAACAAAACCTCCCCACCTCTGAAATGAAATCAAAAAACTGCTGTATGAACACAGCATCACTTTAAAAGGTATCACTTTCATTTGTTAACACTCGTTAACTACGTCCTTAGAACATTTTTGTTGTGTCAAGGGGGGAATATCTGATATTAAAGCAGGCTCTGCTTTAATTAGCTGCATGCTCGTACTTTAATACAGCATAATATATTTACAATTTGATAAGACAGGAGATAGAGCTGATTAGCAGTTTAGGGAATTAATCCTTCACTGAATACCTTGTACTAGGGCTGATCATGAGAGCTATTCTGAAGCTCCTTATATTTAAAATTGTAATCTACGCTATCTCCTAAACCAGCAATTTTTCAAAGTTAATTATAAGTCAGTCAGCAGTTGCGGATAATTATATGCAGACTTACTTTTTCTCTTATATTTGTTGGTGAATAATATATCAAATAACTCAGAGCACACACTGTAATCTGCATAACCCACCTAATGTACTTATTAATCCGAAAAAGGCAGCTGGAAATCAAAGCGCCACGAGCAGGGAGAGGGCACACTGCTGTTTCCTCAGGAGCCGGGATGGAGATGGCAGCACAAACCACGTGGCCAACCTTCCCCTCTGCCCTACTGATGTCAGTGAGTGCCTTCCTATTGCCAGTAACAGGTTCTAGGAGAAGCTCACGGGCCTGACCAGGGAAGGGGCAGGTGCCTGGGCTCCATTCCTCTTCGTCCCAGCGGGGCTCCTTTACACAAACACTCTTTGCCTGTTGCACAGGATAATAGGATTTGGCCCTCTGCATTAAAGTAATACCCATTAACCACCATCTTTTCATTCATCAGTCCGTTCCGACGGGAATAATCTGCCTGTCCCTGGGGAACTGGAGAGGTTAACAGCGGCTCCTGGAGCCAGCTGCCAGAGCACGACCACCACCCGATCCGTCTCGGGTAGTGTTACCGGGTAATGAGGGCGAGCTTAACTCCTGAAACATCCCGTCATTTCCCAGATTTATTAAGCTCTTTAAGTTGGTCTCTGCCCCGTTTTGGAGCACTCCATTAATAAAAAAATACCTATAGCAAGGCGGAAGGGCCTCAACCACCTGTATGCAATGTTTGGTGTCTCAAAACAGTAGTTTTTAGGCAACATCGCATTTTTTTTCCTTTCTTTTTTCTCCCCCCTTTTCAACCTAAGCCTGTGGAACTGCATTTTGTTACAAAATGTATAACAACAAAGGAGTTGCAACCGTCCCGTCACGCAGAAATGCAGCAAAACTTGAGGGAAAACAACAACGTGAACTCATGGGTAAATCATCCAGGAGCAAAAAAACTAGCTAATGTAAATAATGTGTCAAGCGTGGCCTTTGGAGGAAACTGGTAATCCAAAAGGTATTCTAAACTTAATGCATTCTGCTTCAACCTGATACTCTGCGTGTTGTTTGCTATGAACGTACCAGTAGCCTCAACTGTTTCAGGGAAATGTAAAGTAAATAGTTCGTATTGCATGGCTGGACTGAGTAGGAATACTGAGAAGTTGGACTTAGAAGGCCTAAAGGGGAAATATAGCTGATATCCCCAAAGAGTCATACGTATTCCAACAAATGTAGTAGGAAATCAAATCACCTAAAATGCCTGGCCAAATACACAAGCACTTGAGACATTTGAATTTGTGTCCAAACCCGAATTTCAAGTGAGCAGAAATTGAAGCAGCAGGCTGTAAAAGCCATCCAAAACACAAAAAGACACAAGGAACCCTGGATCCCCAAACCTTCCATCTGCAACAAACTGGGTGGCTTCTGGATGAGACACACTGAAAACATCTAAAAACGTTTCAGCTGCTACTCGCAGCCAAATATTGTTTCATACTTACTCGGGGTTGTAATCGCGTGTTTTCATTTTTATAATTAAAGCACAATCTTCAGATCTCGTTGAACAAACCTTCAATGACGTTATAATTAAGACTGCCTCGAGGTGACAGGCAAGGTGAATGAGAAGGAAAGAAGGCAAACATAAGGCGGTGCTGCCTCCGGAGAGGGAGCGAGCTGGAGCGGAGCAGGATGTGCGGGCAAGTGTGAAGGCGAGCTGAGGACAGGCACGGCCCGGGGCTGGGGAGGGCCAGCCTGGGGACAGCTGTGGGGACAAGGCACCTGTACAATCAGCACAGTTACTCTGCAGCTCTGGGCGGGGAGCACCGTGCTTGGCCACGGTTTGATCGAGGGAACGACGACGTTCCAGTGTGACACGGCAGCTTCTCGTGTCTCTGCTCTCAGGGTTATTACACGGCTGAGCAGCCAGAGAAGCTGCTGCGTGTCCTGAGAGGGGCTCCTTGGCAAGCCCTAATAGACTAAAGGGGAATTGCGCTGATTCCAAGCCCAGAACTGAATTTTTTTTATTATTTTTTTTTTTATATTTTACTTATTTAATAAACCACTCCAAACTGCTGCTGGGCAAGCAGTGCACCCAGCCCTTACTGTTTCACAAAGGAGACCTCCGGCTTCCTCCCTGCCAGCCCAATTCTGTGAAGGGCTGAGCATCCTCAGCCCTGCCTCCCCTGCAGTTCAGTGGGAATCATGTTTCACTCTTCATGCTCAAGTGCACTACAGGACTAATTTTAATAATTAATCTATTCCTTTTTTTTTTTTTTTTTCCTTAAGTGGTTAATCAAAGACAAGGGCTGATACAGAAACAGCCTCCACTCACAGCATCTTCAGGGGAGTCAAGTCTCCTTAAAGATATTTGTAGAAGTATTTTTAGCTTTCTTAAAATCTGGAAATGTTGTGGTATATTTATGAACAAATGGAAAACTTAAAATATATTTATGTGAAATAGGCATCGAATAAGGACAATTATTAGGATCCCATGAAATCAGGATTGTGGAGATATGGGTAACTGCATTTATGTATCTGCATAACCCCAGATAGTCTCTAAGGAGGCACAAATCTGTATGAGTTAGGTTTTATTGTACCCCCGTGACTGAGTTTAAAGGGAGGACTGGAAGTGTTTGGTACATCTCTCCCAGGGAGGTCACCTATGTGAGGGGTCAGAAAGATTTAGGACTTTGGAGTGACTTCTGGCCCCATTAAGCCAATGGTAGGACTCCAGTTAAGCAGTAAAACTTCCACTGCCAGCAGCACAGTCAAGGCTTTATCACTACACACCACAGAGAATGGCAGTCTCGAGGGATTCACAGGTAACTGTGGACACTGCTGCAGGTTCCACTCTGCAGATTAGCAACTGCAAGTGTCATGGGTGCAGATCAGGAAGAGTTCAGAGCTATCTGCAGTGGTACGAGCCCTAGGATCAGTTCTGACCCACGGAATCAGCCTGGATAATTCCCTCTTGTAGGAGAGAAAAAGCAACTGAACGTTCAAAGGGATTTCCCAATCATCTTGCCAACAATAAGGAGGCTTTGCCAAAGGAACTATCTCTGTTCAATCAATCAAATGTATTTTAGGATAGGATGGGAAAAGCTGTGTGTGGAGTTAACTAACCTACCTCCACCTACAGCTAGGATGGCTCTGGAAATCTGTTTGCAGGTTTTCATCCCTCCCTCTGTCTCCCCACTGCCAGGGCTGCCTGAACAGAGGGATCCTGAACAGGTTTCTGCAAGGAGGAACTGCCCAACAAGTGGGCACGGGTGGACCAGGATATTCCTGCCCTGGCTTCTGCTCCTGGCAGGCCTGGCACCACCACAGCACAGAGCACTGAGGAACAACCTCATCTATCATCTACGAGAATCACAAACTTCCTGTTGATGGCTAACTGTATTTTGGAAACCAAGTAACAATATAAAAACGAGCATGCAGGTCCTAAATGCTCCAAGCCGTTGGGGTTCTGCTAATAGCCCATTGCTTAGCAACTGCTATATTTAAAATAGGTCCTTAATTCCAGTGTTA